AAAACTATTCCGAATATTTCAAAGAACACAAAACAACTAAAATAAAGATAGTTGAGGGCGAGTCCGACGACTACTATAAGTATCAGCAATTATGTAGAGGAGAGACACTCAAAGTTAGTTATCAATTAGATTTTAAGTTAAAATTAGTTGTAATAACCATTAATTAATATTTGTTTATTAGACACCGCAAGAAGAGAAACACTTGAGATGTTATGTCACAGACAGAGGACATCCACTTCTTGTTTTACAGCCCATTAGAGTGGAAGTACTGAACGAAAATCCTTCGATCGTAATGTTTCATAATCTGATGACAGACTATGAAATAGAACTTTACAAGGAATTGGCCACTCCTATGGTATGTCTGTTAGATTTGATAAACTCATCACTAATTGATGAAACCATTAGCTGACTCGAGCGCGGGTCCAAACTGAAAGCCATAGCGACGAGGTATCCAAAGTGCGGACGAGTCAAACCGCTTGGTTTTCGCCACAAACTCATAAAGTGGTCAAAAATATCAATCTTCGAGTGGAGGCCGCGACCGGCCTTTCGGCGGATATGGATAAAAGTCACTGTGAATTAGTGCAAATCGCCAACTATGGGATGGGCGGCCATTATGTTCCTCATTATGACTATTTAATAGTAGACCGACCGCCAGAGGAAAGGCGTTTGGCGCCCGCCATAGAAAGGGCCGCCGGCGACCGAACGGCAACCCTTATGTTTTACGTGAGTTATGTTCGCAATTGAATTGAATACAAGTTAACGACCTTTTTGTTCAAATCAGTTATCAGAAGTGATAAGAGGGGGTTCGACTGTATTTACCCGATTGGGCACTAAAGTGATACCAGAGAAAGGCGCCGCTGTTTTCTGGTATAACCTCTATAGGAATGGCGAAGGCATTGAGGACACAGTGCACGGCGCCTGTCCTGTACTCATGGGTGAAAAATGGGGTAAAATATTTCACATATTATTTTGCAATTAAGCCTATTATGCAATGAAAATAATGTGATATTAATTACGATTATTACTGTTGTGATCGAAAAGTTGCCAACTATTGGATCAGAGAAATAGGACAGACGTTCAAACGAAAGTGCTCTTTGGATCCAAACGAATAAATGTCATTAACAAGTCATCATTTGTGCAAAAACTATGTGAATATTATGGGAATGTAAGGCATTATTTCCAATTATAGACACACACCACACGTCGAGGTCTCAATTGATGTATTCATTTTGCTAAACATCTTTTTATTAATTATGCAATTTATATATCATTTCAATTCATTGTTTGTAAGATAAATGTAAACTTCAATACTCTTCGCAACCAAATTGCTAAATAATGACCTGATATTTAAGTGAGATTTCATACAACTCTATAATTTGTATTATAAATGTAAAAAAGAATAATTAATTTTTAAAAATAAAAATTGTTAATTTAATGCTAATTTTATAATAACTTAAAATTTAATAAAACATTTGCCGGATTTGTTAAGAAGAATACAGATTTGTTTATCTGAATGAATGCATTGATTAATAGCTTCAGACAATTGATGGCTAGATTTGTTAGAAGAGCTGTAAATGACGAGCGATTTATCACTGCTTTCAATATCGCAGTAATCGTAGAAAACATTGAGTTTTGTGTTAATTCTCTCTAAATAACTATTAATCGGCAAAAAATTCCTGTTTTCGTTGCCGTAATCCACTTTAGAGAGGACCCGATCGCCGAACTCCAGACCCATACTTAGCTTCAGTTTCACTAATTTCATGGCCGCCACCGCGTCCTCAGTCGAGTCGTGGCCAACACTCGAGTCATTGTTTTGAATCTCAAGATTGAGAAACTTTTTGCTCAAAAATTTGAGCGACGGCTTCACTGGTCTCAGACCTGACGTGTTGTATATAACACTCGTATCGATAATATATGGATGACTGAGTTGTAGCGCCAGAAGATCACAGTTCAGCGATTGGCCGCAAAGAATGGCGTCTTCGGGAAGGATTCGATCCAATTCTTTGTGAACGTCTTCGAGAGTCACATCTATCGGATCCAACAATTTCTTTGTTATTCCAGAGTATTTCGTCAAATAATTTGTGATTTTATTCTTAGGTTTAACTAAAGTGTCAAAAACGACGGCACAGTTCTCGTCAACGACCGAAACGCGGGTCACTTCCAGTTTGTCGGCTGTCGTGAAACACATCTCGCAGTCGATGGAGAATATCGGCGACCGATCGCTAACCGGACAGTACTTAGACTTCAAGGTCGGGAAGTCTTCGGAGGTAATGTCAGAAAATAATGGATACTTTTCGACCGCCAACTGAAGAGTTGATAACAATAACTCAGTTCTTGAGATCTTCTCTTCACCCGGAATCTCAATCTCTTGGTCTTTGGCCTCAAATCTCCTCCTTTTGTGCATTTTATCCAATTGTCTGTTACTTAATCTCACATTTAATAAGATAACAATAACTCAGTTCTTGAGATCTTCTCTTCACCCGGAATCTCAATCTCTTGGTCTTTGGCCTCAAATCTCCTCCTTTTGTGCATTTTATCCAATTGTCTGTTACTTAATCTCACATTTAATAAAGAGTTAATCCAATCCTCTTTGGCCTCAAAATTGACACAAAACTTGAAATCCTTTTCATCGAAGAGTTTTTCACTCAAATCAAAGTCTAAGACAAAAATGGATACTTTGGACGCTTTCGTGGGTTTATAGACTTTACACCAATTGGGAGGACATGAGAGTCGAGGCGGAGGAAGAAGTGTCGCAAAAACCAAGTGTTGGATGTCTTCAACGGTCAGACAGACGGCCGACGATTCGGTCGATAAATACTTGTTGTCCACAAAGATCTTCGGCCTCTCAGTCGCCAACTTTATGGACAGCTTTTTCCTCAATTCAGACATCTGTTTGAAACCCGAAGTGAAGACATCGGTGTTATCCTCGGCTGGAGTCGTGTCCACACAGTTGTCGTCAATTGAATCCAAAAATGATTT